CTGGTCCTTGCTCCTTTGAAGCTGCCCTGAGTTCTTTCATCCCCCTTCTCACCTCAAAGCCAGGGGAATCCACCCTGAAACAGTGCATTACCCCCAGCTCTGTGGCTGTTGGTGTTTCACTGCTGTTTATCAATGTTTAAACAACGGAATAATTAACTTAAAACTGATTGTATCAGACTATTAGAAGGTTTGGACTTTTCCTGCAGGCTTATAGCAGCTTGGAGGACCATAAACCTAAAGAGTGCTCTTAAAGATAGGTTTAATCTTAGTCTAGTATGTCTTCAAAGTACTGCATATGCATATAAACATCAGGCTTATTGTTCATTAGAAGCGAGGCAGCAGGGAAAAAATTCCCCAAAGGAATATTACTTGCTATAAGTATCGTTACTGCTGCTCAGCATTCACTCTTCTTTCACATCCACCCTGAATTCTTTCTCTCTCCGTTTTTCTTTCATACAATGCACACTTTTCTTGTTAGGATGCTGATTGTGTGAGGTGCACAGTTTCTCAGCACCTCTTCTTGAAAATCTTTCAAAACAGCCAGAAATGCAGATGACAAGCAGTGGTTGGATAGGGGCTGGGGAAGAGTTTCACTCTCCATAAAGTCTGTTATGGGACAAGGCAAGGCAGGTTTTAGGAAGGCAGGGGGAGACTGTCAGCTCCTTCTGCTGTGTTTCAAAGCACAATGTGATTTACAGTATTGCCCTTAGCAGACAGTGAAAGAGGCAGGAAGACTTTGACTTTGTGGCCTTTGGGTGGCTGAAGTCACTGAATTACACGATGCGGAGCAGAGAAAGCAGCTGTTTTGCTCCAAGAGCAAAATTAGCAGAGTATAAAATTGTGAGCTTTTACAGAGCTGAGGGCTCCTGGTTTGGATCAGGAAACCCAAACGTACTTTTCCAGGTGATCCTAGCGAGGCATCCCCAGGACAAGTTTGTTCAGGGTTTGGATGTGTGGCCATGTCCATGAGTGTGGTACCTGCAGCCTTCCTGGTCTGGCAGTCGCTGAGGAGCAGGGGGATCGGATCCCAGCAAAGGTGGAGAAGATGCTGGTGCCTGGCCCTGGACATTCTGCATGTGGTGGGGGGCATTTCTCAGCACAGAGCCCTGCCCGGGCACCTAGGCATGAGGTGTCATTAGCAGAGGGAGTTCAAAGCACTAGGGGGGGAAAAAAAATCCACACATGAAAAAACTGGCTCAGAACCATCCCTGGCTCCAGGCTGCTGCTGTTAGCAGACCACATGGCCGAGGTTCGTTGCCAGACTGGTCGATGAAGGGCACGTGTGCCCGTAAGGAGCCGTGGAACGGGGTGGGGATAGGGGCAGCTGGTGCCTCTGCAGCCCTGCCCAGTGTGATGTGAAGTCACCCTG